GTCAGGGGAATAATTAGAAATAAACCGCAACTACAGAAACCTCTCAGGTAGACACAAGTCTTATGGTAAAATATTATAGCCCCTGAAGGTTTATCTGAAGTGTCCTAAAAGAAGACGCAGCAAAAGATGTAAATTTGCAAAAAAGAGATTTAAGAGCTTTTGGTGATAAGGCCCGACGTCTGTGTCCTGCTGTAAACAAAAACATGTGATTTCCATTTGACATTTTCCTGTTGTGAACGTATCAGACCTGGACAACCTCCTGCTGCATCTTTAATATATGGGGGATTCCAAAAGATTTACTGAGCATTTTGCAGATCTCATGTTGGAAAACAGCTCATCTATCAGCCCTGTGATAGACAAAATCAGCTGGGATTGCCCACCCCTCCCCTGCAGACCTTGGGACCCTCATAAGCGATAAACTTATAAATGAATGTGTGATCAATTAATAATGGTTGATGAATAAAGGCCTGTGTCTAGTGTTTGCATTAAAGGGGATTTACTTGTTATTTCCTGAATCGCTATGCGACCACACACTGCAAAAATGTTGACTTGTTCATTTCGGTTTTCAGTGTCCACGCCCTCACCTTAGGGATCGTCTAGAAATTGTAAGGGCAGGACTCCACCACTTCTGTTGGAGGGTGTGACGGGTCTATCTAGTCTACAAGATTAGATTGTTTTGGATAAGCGTTCACATGCTCTACTCTCAAATACTTGGGTCCACACGTTTCAGTGAAATGGACAGCTTACGGTTGTGCTGCTGCAGTCACATCCCAGAGAAAAGCCCAAGTATTATGTAAACTGACACCTCAGCACCCAGCGAAGTAGTTAAACACAAACACTGGAAGCTTCTCCGGACCTTTAGTTTTATCAGTAAGTTTGAACAGGCTGTACTTTCCCTCCTCACTCATGACATGAAACATTTTAAGTGCCAATCCTGGTCAGATTCCAGCGAGTCACGAGCCTGGAAGTCCAGAGGAGCTCTGACAGAGCCTCACCTCAGTCATCTGAAACCTCACTTTTGATGCCTTTGACAGAACAAACGTGCCTGGAACATGATCTCTCTCTCTTACAAACAGTGATATCACCACTATCTGCCTCTGTGCCATAGGTTTGAGAATATGGGCCACATGCCTGAATGGTCTCTGTGTTTACACAGTACTGTCAAAAACAAACAGCGTTATGAAGAGTACAGTTACACAAAGTGTGGCAACTGAAAACCAATATGAGTATGTGTTTATCATGTGCAGTCGAGTTTATGTGACTGAAATATTGATGTAATTATCAGTGAACACCACAGGTTAAAGAGATAAAGTCTATTTAATGGATGGAACTATAATGGCACTCAGTACAGAGAACAATACTTCCGCCAAGGCCCAACACTCATATCACGCAATACTCAATATCAGTCCCTTTAACAAGATAGATTTTCTGCTTCAAGTCCATGAATTTGATCTTTGAGAAATCAATGGAAATGTTGACAAATGTCCAATTTGTTAATTTTAAAGGAAATAAAAAAAAAATTCTACATCATACATACCACATCTTTCCACTAAATTTCATAGCAAAGCATCTAGTAGTTTTTGTGAAATCTCGCTGACAAACAAACAAACAAACAGACAAACAACCACACAGAGTTTAAAGTATCCACTAGCTTAACTATTAAAAGAGTAAGAACTGAAATCTGCCAAAGCTAACACACGTCTCATGCAAACTAATAAACACACAGAGCAGCCACGCTGAAATCTGCTGGATACAGAGCTACTCTTCCCCGACTGAAATGACTTTCCGAGCTGTTTCACAATAAACCACATTTTCGTCTTAGCAGGAGCTGTTCTACGTGCTTTAGTCATTTCTGGGTACTAAGGGAGTGGTCATTTTAAATCGTGGTACGTTTATGAAGAAGGCAGCAGGATATCGTGCAAGTCAGGTGCATTTACAACAACATTAAAAATGTCTGAAGCATTCGGGTGAGGGGTGGAGGCAGGACACGAAGTACACAATCTTCAGAGGAGATCACATATTTTTGTTTACAGCACATTGACAATCTTGAATCTAGTTGTCTTTCAGATAGACATCTTTGTCTTCCACGTGTCTGACAGATCTTTTTCATCCTGAGATATTTGTTTTCTTTTGGGTTTTTTTACTAACATCATCAACACACCAATTGTCTGAAGATTTCCAGGAAACACCTGAACACCTGACTCAAACATTTGCGTTCTTACATACCAACCCTTGGAACGAAGCTGATTTAAATGCATGTGCAGCTTATATGTTTCATGATCAGACACAATTTCTGCTTATAGACAGGAATGTCTGTTTTTAGCTTATCCAGGGAATGAAATACCTTAAATTACCTCATTCATGCAAAACTCCATTATCTATATTACTACACGTTCAAATGCCTTCTTGTTCCTTTAGATGTTTGCCCACCATGTTGTACATACAGTATTAAAAGGAGAGTTTCTGCAGCATTTACAGTAAAAGGCCAAATGTTTGACAGCAGGCACATTAATATAATGTAATTTTACTAAATTACCAACTGAAGGTTATAAACACGGACATGCAGCTGGTTATTAAAAGGCTCAGCTTGTCATGTAGAACATTGTTGGGCAGTAGTTACTGTAGGTGTCTAATAGTCTGCTTGCTGTGTGTGCAAAGAGGTTACAAATATTGTCTTTACAAATGGAATTAAATGCTAGTGTGCCGCCTATTACAAACACTGACAAAACAAAACAAAACAAAATCAACACCTTCGTGGCACAACTCAACGAATAAGGAGGATTTATCTCATCGCTGTTGTACAGGGTTGAGTCCTCTGATCTCTGGATTTTTGTTGCATTAGTTAAAATCAGTTGTCATGAAATCTAATTTGAAAGCTCCACTAAAACTAGACTATAATTGTTTTCCTTGGAAATGTTAGTCTTGTCTCAGTCAGACTTTTAGGACACTTTCACACCAACCTTGTCTGGTCTCAACCTTCTTCTTGTTGGTCTCAGTCCAGATTAAACAAACCATGGTTTGTGAAAACATTTTCTGGGATAGGTCGGACTTTCAGACCAGTGGCACGAAGTTCAGACAGCGTCAAACAACAGAAGAAGAAAAAGAAGCAGAGCAGCTTGCGGGATTGGTGGAGATTTGCTTCTTACAGTATAATGTTTGATGAGGACATTCAGTTGGAATTGAACTAGTGTGGAGTACTGTCCCTGATGTTGGTGATGCTGGTAAAAACACCATAATAATATTGCAGTGGAAACAAAAATAACAACATCAACCGGGTAATCCATTTCCATGAAACAGAAACAACAACCAAACTGACACGCTGACCTCAGATGCATGTCTGTCTACCAACCAATCAAAGCCAAGAAGTGGACACAGTCCACGTAGGTGATAACGACAGGACGTACAAATGTATCACAAAAGTCTTAAAGGGCCCATATTGTGTAAAATACATTTTCTGGGCTTTTACTATCCATGATTACTTGAAGGGGGTCAGTAGGTACCCTCAAAGTATTAAAACAGTCAGTCCGCGGACCTTTTCACTCAATCCATTCCAAGAAATATGTCTTTGAAACGGCTTGTTTCAAACTTCTGAGGTGGGATGGCGTCAGCTTCGCCTTCACTCTTCTCTCAGCCCAACACAGCCAGTACCAGTCCAGCCTCCGAAATACACATTGCAGCAGTGTTTTCGACTTTAAACCACTGATATATCATCTTGGGGTAGCAATACCTCAAATTAAATCCCAGAAAGGTGTAAAATATTTACTTTAAGTCCACTCCCTAAATTGCAACGCGAAACCAAAACTAACCAGATCGAATGTAAACAACAAGATGAGCACTCTGTATGAGTCATGTTCACTCACATCCAGACCAGCTCAGACACAATATCAACTTGATCAAGCCACTAGACTGATTGGACTGAACATGTATGTGTGTTATACCTGAACGGCAGGTTTTCCAGCCTCACATGTTACGCTTCCTCGTAAGCACACAACAGAGTAGGTTAACCCGACAATGTGCGACAACAACACCCGTGTCAGACGAGGTGTGTCTCAACCCATCTTCTGAGTGGTTTTAGGAACAAAAATAAAAAGAGAACAGGACAAGTGTGGAATAAACAAATAAAAGCACTGGAAATTCCACTGTCACTATCGCGGGCACCTGAGGTCAACCAGTTTGTTTTTTTCAGTCTTTCATTCTTCCAGGGGAGAGTGAGTCAGAGAGGATATTTACTGCTTCACATGACACACAGTTCCCATCACGGCTGGTCAGTGAACCGCAGCATAGACGAGATGGGCGATCAAGTGCCTTGCTCAAGGGCACCTAAGCAGAAAGGCGTCAATCTGCATTTCACATTGACTCTCGACAACTTCCAACAAAGGGCTTATTTGTTAAATCAAAAAACCTCCCCTGTGCCACAAAAACTGACCATTAGGGATGCCGATTTTTTGACACAGGACCAAACAAAACAATAAACTCAATTAATGTAAATTCTTTATCATCAATTTTTGAAAAAAAAGTGAAAATCTAACAGCTTTATCTCCAGACGACCTCCAAAAGTAGAAAACAGACAAATCAACTTTTAACATGTGGCAGATGAAACTGTCCCGTTCATCAGTCTTGGGGGGGGGGGGTAGATATCACCATAATCACATATTTCAGTCACTATAATCGTATGGTGGAACTCTGGTGTGGTAACAGCCCTAGTTCTCTGTAAATCTGTTTTTCCAAACTGGAAACCAGCACACGTGATACAGCTACAACTCAATGTCACTGTGGTTAGATTTCAAAAAAAAGTGCCAGCGGGCAAAACGTCTCTGCTGCCTCATGCTGTCAGTCTGAACAGGGGGCGAGGGGAGGAGGGGTCCAGGGGCTGAGGAGAGACCAGGGTCCCATTGGATTCTCTAAACACTTATCATGACAGAATATGAGTTCATGTATGAGATCCTCTGTTGAGGGTTATTAAGATTTCTATTCAGGTGAATAAAGGAACTTTATCTCACATGGGTCGGTTGAAACCGTCCACTTCTTCAGTCTCAGGGAAGAACACGTCCCCCTCCTCCGTTTTGCGTTTGGATTTCTTGCGTTTCAGCCTGAACGACAGCCGCCGTTTCTTCTTCTCTTTCGGGGAGACGGGTGACGCGTCCGCGGGCGACGCGACGCCGTCTCCCGGGCTGAGGGGACCGGGGCTCGTCGGTAACGTCCCGGACTGGTCTTTGTGGCCGGCGACAGCTCCATCTCTGAGGGTCGCAGACCGCTGGAGCTCCTTGTTCTTCTCAGGTGACTTCAACTTGAACAGACTCTTAACTTTGAGCGTGCTGGACTTACTCATGGTGTGTGGGGCGGAGGGGAGCAGGGGACCATGAGGAGAGGAGAGGAGCCCGGCTACGAGCTGCTGCAGCCGGGGACCGAGTGCAGCTGTGAGGCGGGAGGGGGTGTGGAGCTCTGTCCAGGTGAGAGAGGTGCAGCTGTGTGAAGTTACCCACAGGAAACACATCCGGCTGTAACCTTCACAATAAATCAAATACGACTTCCGTTTTTACTTTCTATGTATGTACACAAAATACAAATAGACCAACTGTGTTTCCTCAAATAAACTGATATATTATAACCAAGCACGTCCACGAGGGAGCAAGCGGCAAGGTTGTGTCGTCATTTAATTAGGTAATGCATTTTAAAAATAAAAATCAGGTGGAGATAAACAGAGGCCCTTATTTACAGACACACTTTTATAGGCATGCTTCAGTTTTGATCTTACTGTCTATTTATAATGTTATATGTTATCTCGTCTTCACTCCTTTCTCATTTGCAACATTATTCTATTTCTATGTGTGTCTGATCTTCAAATTACTTTTTAAATTGTTTCTTTTTTGCTTTTAAAGGTTAAATATATTGGGGACAAGTTGCATCATCATGACCACATTTTCTAGATTTACTTTATATTTATATTTTCTTGATTAATCAGTGAGTCAAAATTACAGTTGCCCAAGGTAACATATTCAAATTGCTGGATTTATTCGACCAAATCTTAAAATTCAAAGACAGTTCACACTGTTAAGTCTCATATACAGTATGACATACGGCCATCATGTTTGAGATGCTGGAACCTGAAACAATTTGACTCTAGCCACCTCACAACCCTTAGAGAAAGATAGTTATTAGATGATGGATGGATGTAATCAATTTAGTAACTGTTACTGTTTAATATTATGTCACTAAAAGGCTAAAATGTCATCACCTCAATAGCTTGTTAACTGTCAAAATATTCTATTGTTAGTAATAAATGGAATAGAAATATTCAATGAGAAAAATGCACCAAAGTTCATGAGTCCTTTCACAAGGAATGTATTAACACATGGCATTCTATATAATACAGGTAGACTGCAGGCAGAATGAAACAGGCATGTCCTGACTGACTGCCACAATTGCAAACGAGTCACCACCGTCAGCACTACTCAATACTACTTTAGTCCTTGGGCAATGGAAACCGGTTCACCCCAACTTTTTAAAAAAAATTTAACACCAGTGGTTGAGACAACTGCACTAAAAAGCTTTTATTTTGAAAGCAAACGTTCAACTCTAAGCTTACTGCTTGATGCAGCTCGTACACACCTCACATGTCTCTCCAGTGTGATCTCCTGCAATAGTATGTTTTTATATAGATCTATAAGATCTTAAGTGATAAAAGTTTCTCTACATGACAGTCAAAGATATTAGTAGAGAAATCATGTTAAGTAAGGACTCTTTCTTACTTTCTACTGATAATGTGAAGGTCCTATTCTACACAACAAACTTCTGTACAACTTGAAAATTCTATCCCTGACTATTAAATATTTTTTTCCCCAACAAAACATCTGTATTAATGTCTCGTATATCAGTTTGTAACTACTCACTGTGTCATAGATTTTAAAATGCACTGTGTCTCATGAGGCTTTAAAGCAACACTATGTAACTTTTACTAAGCAACAGCGCCCTCTGCAGCCACATGTGGTGATTAATTCTGTCACGCTCTGAGTCCAAGTGGGTCATAGAGTAGAGTCATAGGGTAGAGTCATAGGGTAAATAGAAATGTAAGTAGGTCATGTAAATAGAAAACAAATCCTATCTATCTGTCGACTGGGGCTCTGACTGCAAGTCCCAATCACTGAAAGGTGCATATTACCCATGATCCTCTGCTTTTTGAATCAGAAGAGCTGCTGCTGTAACAAAGTAACAAATACAATAAACTCTGTGCAAAATATTGGATACTTTGACTTTCCTCGCTGTATATTGGAGATATTTTTGATCTTTTTAACTGAGCTACAATTCTGCATTACTCATGGACTTGCTGCATCTGATCCTGGTTATTTATGCTGCAAGTATCAGTCAGTTCCACGCTTCTCACAGGACCCACTTAACAAAGTCACATGGAGCGAGAACAGACATTCAAAGTGCAATTATGCACAGAAAACAATTATGAGTTATAAAGCATTTTGTCCAACATGTCTTTCATTTCAGAAAGTCCTATTATTGAGTGTCCCATGAAATCACAGCTCCACCCAAAGGCCGTGTTGGGGAAAAGCAACAGTCTTGATTATTGTGTACTATACTGTCAGGTTCATTCAATCATTTCTGCTTTTGAACCACTAACCTAAAACAAAATCTAGATTATACAGACAAACGCAGATACAGAGATTATGTGGGTGAATGTAGATGAGAGAAAAAGAAAAGAAAACAGAGAATAGAAAGTCGGAAGATGGTAATGTGATATAGACAAACTAATAACAGGAAACCCCAATTGGGTTTGGAGGCATGAGGGTGTTCAAAGTAAAATTGTGGCAAGGAAACAAGCTTTCATTTGGCAGTTTTTAAACTAGAGGCTGAGGTCAGTTTACAGCTTCAACCTCTGCAGCCACCTCATCTGCTCTGCTGTTAACAGAGGTTTTAACTCTGCCCACACTCTCCTCCCCACAGCGCTTAGAAGCAGAATCTGGGGGATGAGATGACACTTTGATGTGTCAGCTGAATCTCAGCAAGGATGAGACAGTAAAGCTACTGAAGGAGCTGGTTATATATATTAATCGCTAACTAACCGTAAATATGAAAATTTGTGTCGAATTTACAGAAGTACCAAGTGTGGCTGAACAGGGAATCATTTTCTAAACACATTCCGTAAGGTGTGGCTTTGCTCAAAGCATATAGAACCAAGAGTAAACAAGGAATGACTTAATGTGAAACGTACTCAATCAGGAATTGTGCATGGAGGTTAAACATATAATTGTATAAATTATGGGCCCCTCTATGGCCCCTGATTTAGAAACATCCTAGATCCACGACTGTCTCCCAGTCTTTCACGTGACAAAATGTTTCCCCATTACAACCAATAGCACCTTTTTGTAAGATATTTAAAATCGAATGGTAATCAAATTTAAAATTCAAAATATTGACGCCAGGTCTAGTCGCCGAGTTGATCACAAAAACTAATGCTCTGTGTGGAAACATAACCTTTAAGGTGGAGGTGACTGGGGCCAAGAGTAAATTATGCAATTTTGCAGTAAATCAAAGCAGACGAAAAAAATCTTGCACTGAACTGTGGGTTGTCCCTGCAAGCTGCTCTTTTCTTAGTGGAACCATCAGATAAGGAGAACGTGTGTAGGTAGAAGACAAAGATAGGTCTGAGATCAAAAGCAGGAAGCTCATTGATGTACTGTCCTCATACACTAGCAGAGCCTGTGAGAATGAGTTTTTTTCTTTACAGTGTTCTTTTGATTTGTTTTTTTTTCTGTGAGATAAAGCTCCTACGCTGAGCTCTTTTCTTCAAATGCAGGTCTGAGGCAAGTGAAGCTGGGCGGAAATCTAACCCTATTTTGACTTCTCAGATCCAGAAGATAAAGACATTAAGTGAGTGAGAGTCATCATTCTACAAGGTATGTACGTTCTGAAAAAACATGCACAATTTGGTTATTTAATGGAATGTTGTAATTGCACAACGTATTTTGATTCCTTTACAGTATATGTATCATACATTTAGTAAAAGTGGTAATTAAAACATACTATTTCTTTGGCATATAATATGAATTTGTTAAGCTTGAGATGTACAAAGCTACTAATAATGAAGCACCTTTTAACTCCTGTTTGTTCAGCTACTGTATTCTCCAAGAGTGATTGACATGCACAGTAACATTAGCAACGCAAGCTCTGTCCACATTTCTAAATGTGTAGTGAGGTCTTATTTATTTAGGCATGGTTTTTGTTACTGTAATGTATATGTGTATACTGCAATTTCATTTTGTGTGTTATAGTTGCATCCATAATTATTTTTTAATATGTTTTGTTTTTAATGTGAAGAACTTTGAATTGCATTTATGTATAAAAAGGTACAATGTAATTTAAGTTGAATTACATTTATTAATATTATGTTATTATTACAATGTTTGAAAGTTTTTAAATGACTGATCAGTTTAAATTGGTTCAAATCACTGGTTGTTAAATTCAGATGAACACAGACACTTTCACTTCTGTAAAATATATTACAAAGCGCCAGCTCTAAAAATGTGTGTCTATACAAACTTCCTTCTCATTTCATTATCTTCCCAGACAGACTCTGTGTGAGCACAACGTATCATATTTCCCTTATCAACGAGTACAACTGCACAATGCTACTTCTAAACCAGGTTCCCTAAATCCTGTTTTGAAGAAGTCAAAGTTTCTCACATTTGTACTGACCATTTATATTCATCAGTTGATATAGAAAATATCACGCAGAGAAACATTGTTATTTCCTCATTTATTTGTAATCATGGAAGGTTTGTAGATGTTTGTTGACCTTATATATTCTACGTCAGTGAGCTTCGTGTTAACTCTGTGACACATCTCAGATCTCCACTGATGAGACATAATCGGCTCCTGAGATCAGACAGGGCACCGAGTGCTGCCACCTGCGTGAATCCACTTCGTGCCAAATGGTGCTGAAACTGAGTCATTTCCAATCAGCGGAAGATCTGAACTAGAACACTGGTTTTCAGTCTAACAGAAGAAAAGTGTAATATGAGTTTCCATTAACAAATACATTTGTAATAAATCAATTTGAAATTTCATATGAGAAGAATCCTTTATTGATCCCCACTGGGTAAAATAGGTATAATAGCAATAGAGTTCAGAATAAATATACAGGTAAAAAGAATAGAATAAAATTAGATGAGAATAACAAGAGGAAAATAAAGTATTTAGGAAAAATAAAAACACAATGATACAGAAAAAAACTAAATTACAACATTGAGTAATATACTTATTTATTTACTTATGTATTTTATTTACTTGAGTTATGTACTGTATACATATTTAAGTGACATCCTAATGTGTACATTTACCAGAATATAGCTAATATTATTATTTTTAACCAATAATAATAATTAATAAAAATAACAGCTCAGTTACTGTAAGGAATGCTGAGGTATATAAGAAAAATGCGGAAACATACAAGCTACATTTTCACAAATGTACAGTAATATTACTAGTAGTATTATTACTTAATTTTGTAACTTGTCAAAATACATTATTTTGAAATCCTAATTAACCAGAATTAAGCTGTCAAATAAGTAAATTATATTTCCACTGATGTTGCTGTTTGTTTTAAATATTTTGTCTTTTCTTCTCCAGATTAAAAACATGGCGGTGACGATTCCAGACTATGGCAACGATACAACGTTCGATGACTATGACTATGACGACCTCTGTGTTCTTGACCCGAGCCCCACAGCGGTCATCACCCAAACATACGTCCATTCCATCATCTGTGCCTTCGGCCTGATCGGCAATGTCCTCGTGATCGTCACCTACATATTCTACAAGAGAGCCAAGACGATGACGGATGTCTACCTCTACAACGTTGCCATGGCTGACCTGATCTTTGTGGTGGCCCTTCCATTTATCCTATACAACGAGCAGCACAGCTGGTTCATGGGTCCTGTGGCCTGCAAGATACTGAGGTCGGCCTACAGCATCAACCTCTACAGCGGCATGCTCCTGCTCGCGTGCATCAGTGGCGATCGTTACATCGCAATAGTTCAGGCCAGGAAATCCTTTGGCGCTCGCTCACGCACTCTGATCTACAGCCGCCTCATCTGCTCTGCTGTTTGGCTGTTTGCTGTGGCCCTGACACTGCCTACGTTCATCTACACCCAGCGCTTTGAAGAGCAGAATCAGGGGACTGAGAGCGTCACAGTGATGTGTGAGATGTATTTCAGGAAGAATGAGACAGCAAAAGTGATGAAGGTGACGGTTCCCAGCCTCCAAATGGCTTTCGGCTTCCTAATGCCTCTGGTGGCGATGGTGTTCTGCTACTCCAGCATCATTTGCACCTTGCTGACAGCACAGAACAGCCAGAGGAACAAGGCTGTGCGTGTGGTTTTGGCAGTCGTGGTGGTTTTCATTGCGTGCCACCTTCCCTACAACGTGACTCTGCTAACACACACCCTGTCTCTGTTTAAGGAGAGAAGTTGTGAGTGGGAAAAGATTAAACTCAGAGTTCTGGACATCTCCAGAGGCATAGCCTACCTCCATTGCTGTCTGAATCCCATCCTCTACGCCTTCATCGGGTCGAAGTTCAGGAGTCACTTCAGGCAAATAGTGGTGGATATGTGGTGCTTCAGCAAAAAGTACATCTACTCTGCTCGCTCGTCACGCGGAACGTCTGATATTTGCGTCTCAGGTCTCAAGTCTTCAGAGGGCTCTAGCAACATGATGTCATTCAGTGTATGATGCTGCAGCCGAGAGATAATTAGAAATGCTGATGCTACAGGAGCCTCTCGTCTCTCCAAGTTGTTACTGTGCTGTAACTGTATGTAGCCACCCACACACACACGCACACGCACACACTTATTATAACCGGTTGGAATAATGCCCGTGATGAGCACGTGTCCGTTAAGATACTGATACTGGCTCCATTTTATTCAGGAGAACGAGCAAAACACATCAGTGATTCATGTTAGTAATATCTGTGCTTTTCATTATATTACAGGTCGAAATGTCTGCTGTGAATCACACATATTAAATGTCATGGAATTTGAACGACATTTTACAAATGATCATATAATGATTCTGTTTGAACCAAAGAGGAGAAAGTAGTGGTAGAAATCCTATTACAGCACATGATAACAGCCACATGCAAATTAAACCAGTGCCTCTACACATCTAATCTTAGTTTTTCACTGCTTCAGGAGCATGAAAATTCAATCCTCAGAGCAAATCTGCATCTAGTTTGCTCCCCTTTCATGAATAGGTTTATAGATGTAAGAACATTCTCTGCTGGTGACATTTTATCGATATGTGCTAATGATGTATTATCTTTAATTAACATTTGATGGCTGGTTTTGTTTCTTTAAATATATATATTTGAAAAGAGGTACGACTGAGAGCCACTTCTCTAGTGTTGCTATGTATATCCTGTTGACTGAGTCTGCTGTTTTTTTAAAGTTAAGCTAAAGCTCCTCACATTTCTAAACTTGCCCTTCTGTCACTTAAGTTTTTATCAGTTTGTATTTTGTAAATGAGATTGTCTGAATAAACAGTGTGTCTGAAAATATATTCTTTGACCAGATTATTCAGAAAATTATTTTGATATATATTTTAATTTACAGCACAAAGTAGCTAAGCCAAGAGAAATAAACAGTATATAGTTTTTTAAGCTTGTTAATGGAAAGATAATTTCAAATAAAATGTACTTCTGGGTAATTGCAAATACCTCCAGTCCTCTCCGTGGAAGGGTTGGCTCTATTTCCTCCAGTTCAACAATGTAAATCATCTTGTAAGATAAAGTAGTAAATCTGTTATAAAAGTAGTTGTTAAACATTTCTGCATTCTGTAAAAGTCTGCTTTGTGGGACATAAAGCAGATTTCAAAGAGTGTGAAATTGATCCGCCTGTACTCAGAAACAGTTAAGATTTGGGGTCATTTCCTGTGGTTAGTTCACTTTAGAAGCCACTTCTGTTATGTGTCACCGCATGCATCACAGAAGCAGTAAAAGTAACAGTGGATTGCTTTGTCCTGTTCAGGCCCAACAAGCTGACATCAACAACAGCTTTATTTAAAGAACATCGTTCACTACTGCTCAGATCCCTGAAATATATAACTGCATTCACCCACAAGAAAAACTTGAAATGCTGAGATATTGACCAGTGCAGGTGTATTTTTACGATCCACTTTTATTGTAGGTGTAGCATGAGTCTCTTCACTTCTTGCTCCATCTCTTCTTACTCATTAAGCTGACAAAGAAAATTAATCTAATTGATCAATATTCTGATATTGTATTGATTCTGTGAACATGGCACCCACTGTATTCAGTTGCCCTATACTTTTGTTGATTTTGGGTTGAATAAAAAATTAATTTTTGCAAACACTGAGAAAGAGGAGAAAACCTCTGTTCTGGGTATTTTTTTAATGAAAAGAGCCTAAGGGATTTCCACCCTAATGAAATTATAGAAATTATATCTGAAAGACAATATATTAATGTGGGGATTCTTTAGCGTTTTCTTCTCTGCAACAAAAATGCAAGATTGGACGTCATACACATAAAAGAACCTCTTCTTTTTCAGATCTCACAAACAAATGATTACTGTTATAATTGAATCAAATTCAAGTCTTGTGCTCTCAGCTGTGTGACATTTAATGATCCACCCAACTATTGGGCCTCTTTAGCAACATCGGAGGGAGTACAATGTAAAAATACAATGTTGATAATAAAGTGCGTCTCAAATGATATTTTACTTTAGACACACTAGAAATTCAGACGCCAGATGTGAGCTGCAGTTAAACTCGGCTGGATCCAGGAGAGTTCCACTCTGGATACATCTGGACACAAGAGAACTGGTCTGATCAGGGCCTCCGTTGTGGGACAGGAGAGGATCCACCACGTGTTGTAATCCCAATAAGTCATTTCATAGTTCGACAAACTTATTACTATTTCTGATTTTTCTGTAGAAACTGGAACAAACAATATGCGAAAAAAGCTGTGTTGCCAACATGCAGATGTTTTCACTGTTAATCCTACTCTCCCTTTTTTCGGTCTGCTGTTAAGACTTTTGCCCACTAGGTGTCCTCAGAGAGTTTACTGGCGCTCCACCCCACCTGACCTCGTTTATGAGCCATAACTTGCCTCCTCAGCTGTTCTTTATTTGCTCACTGGCAGTAATGATAGTTAAAGACAAGCAAACTAAATGTGAATCAAGCAATACATGATCTCTATGTGCCTCTGTCATGGAACACTGTAGAAGTGGTGTCGGGACATGGTGCCATTTTGCACCGAGTCCATTCAAATACAAGAATACATGGGGAAATACTGTAGGAGCACAGGTGCAAGTAGTACTATGTTCCATTTTAGAAGTTATTCAGCACGCACAATACAAGAGCCCTGGCACATAAATGGAATGCAGCCATTTATACTGTTGCTAGTGATACATGTGTTTGACAAGTGAAATGTTGCAGACTGGGTGTGGTATGTTTTCTAAAATCTAGATTTTAAAAAGTGATTAAAGTGTCTATTTTCAGGGTTTGTAGAATAGATCCGATTTAAAGCTACAGCACATGAGTTGGTTTTTTTTGTGTTTCGCTTGTTGTTTTATGTTTTGACCACTTGAGGGAAGCAGAACAAGGTGTCAACACAACTGAAATCCTCACCTTACAGTGTTTGTCAGTGGGGTGGGATCAGGACACTAAAGAGAATGATGCTGTGGAAGTGATATGTCTCCCTGTTGAGCTGATATTGCCAGTTTGCAGTCATCTTGTAATGTACCGCCCTCTTGTGGCTGCAGTAGGCTATTGTCTTTGGAAGCCATAGCCTACCAACCATTGCATCTACAATTTATATCATTTTCTTGAACATCACTGGGAAAAAGGGCGTGAGAAAGGCTGTGGCTTGTCAGGAGGGAGTAAAATCCACACTCTTTTTAGCTCTATTTTTGGTCTCTACCAATCCCAGAGGAAAAAGAGCTATCCTGAATGTTCTGTTAAATGCTGTTTGGTGCAGAACAAGTTGTGTACAAAGTTTTTTCCTTGAATGCAGCTGCCTGCGGAGGCTAGAAACAATGTAAACAAGGGCAGTAACACTGAGCCGTCAGTCAAAGTTAATGGAGCAGTTAACAGCTGAAGACAGATTATTTTCTCAGGGATAGCAAACTATGGGCTGTAAAAGCAAAAACACTGAACTGAAAGACACTAACATGTTCTGTAGAGCTGAGGACCACTGATGAGTTAGTGATTTAATCCAATGTTAAAATGGAAATATTGATGAATCCGTTCTACAAACATTAAGGAATTTGGGGCAAAGGTTTGTGTACTCAAGGTTCATGTGAAAGATGTGAGAGCTTTATACAGTGGATTCAAATTTCTCACACGCACACTAGCACCCACTCTTATCTCAACCACTCTCCTCTAGACAGAATCTATGGCATCAGGTAAAATATTGCTGTCCAGTCGTCTTCAGAAAAACCACACCTTGTAAAAGACTATTTTACTGTGATGATTTAAAGCGGCCTTTAGCCCCCGGCTCACTCTAAATATCCCTCTCCCAGTTTCACATGTTATGGACACGCTAAAGTGCTGGGTGCCATATATGGCGCCTCAGTGACTAAAGAGTGGTCGTTCTTTGAGGATAGATGTGCTCAAAGTGGATCATTGGTGCCTTTTATGGTGTTTTTAAAAAAAAATTAAGAAACCACCATGATTATGTTGAGCTAAACATCTGGTATTTGATAATGAAGTCACTCCTCAGACTCTTCTACCACAATCAGCTTATGATTCATTCTCCCAAGAGTCATCACTGTTGAAAGGTTTTATTGCAGCAGCATGGTATATTCTGAGAGACGTGCATGTTTGGTAATATAGCCTGAGCTACGATCACTGCTAACTGTGTGTTTGTTACTTTCTTTGTGTGGATCTGTGACTGTACCGGATCTAACTCTTTACATTTACTAGAGCAACGTAAATCCATTAATAGCATCTGTACTTTACTTGAGTGCTACCATTTCAGACCTGATCCACTTCTATTGGCCCGGGTACAGGTTTATGAGGAGTTGGATCCAGAGTGAGCAGCTTTGTGAGATACAACAGGAGCACACAGCAGTCCTGAAAGATCTTTATGTTTCTTAAATTTCACAACACTTCATCTTTGTTTAGTGCCTGATATCAACCCAACACTGTTGATGGTGTTTGACTCGCAGCGGGAATTTTGGCCTATCCTTCCTCAGGGGGAATTCCCCCTGATGAGAACCTTTGTGTACATGTTTTGATTTAATCCTTGAAACCAAAGCATCCCAGTCTCCGTGGTGGTTTGGGAAATCTGAAGCACTTTTCTCACACCTCATACAAAAAATGTTCCCAACCTCAGGCGATAAAACTCCAGACAAGCTCATTTATCATGTCCAGAATATCTTTCACTTAGGAGGATATAGACACTCTGCAGACAGACAGTTCCTTCTGGCGTCACAGTGAGTGTGAATGTGCGCGCGTGCATGTGAACATACATTCCTTCAGGTTGGCTCCCCTCCTCCTACCCAGCCCATTTCAGGTCCAGAGCTGATTAGGGGTCCTGGAAGTGAGGGGATTATCACGCTGGGTCAGACTGTACCCCGCTGGTGCGCAAGGAGGAATGCAGGCAAATCAACCAGCGAGCCCATCAGTCAGCCAGTCAGTCGGTCACGCACAGAGTCATCCAGTCAGTCATCTGCCTGTGAGGCGCTCAGCCCAGTCCTCACGAGATTAGCTTGGCTTTCTATCAACAACCATTACTTTAGGATCTGTGTGTTCTTCTCAACTCTATACGCCCAAAAAGCACACACACGTATTCTACGTTATCATATCTATGCAGAATGAAAAGAACTTAGCTCCCCTGATGTGTTGACCGGTTTTTTCTGTGTATCAGTGACCAGATACGTTCCAACAGACCCGGAGAGGAAGTTGGTATATTCATATGAGGGAACAAGTCCCCTGTGGGGGAGAGGGGTCATGTCATGTGTTGCACTCATTCTGGGTTGAGTTACAGCAGTTAATCGAATTAGTGGAACTTAAACATGGAGAGTTGGTTACAACATAAGCTGAGAATGACATCAGGGGGTGAGGAGGAGAGAGGAGCACAATGTCGCTGGGACATGTAGGACGACCAATACAAGCAGCAACACACACACACACACACACACACACACACACACACACACACACACACACACACAGTTACTGTTCACACTCACTGTTTTGTTACGTTGAAAAATTACAAAAAGACTTTAAAACTGCTTTGTTTCAACTTTAAGAGTAAGCGTGATTAGTTAAAGGGATGAAAAAAGAAAATTCACTCATTATCTACTCACCACTATGCAGATGGAGGGTTGGGTGAAGAGTCCACAAAACACTTCTGGAGTTTCAGGGGTAAGCAGCGTTGCAGGTGAATCCAGTACAATTGAAGCAAATGGTGACCACTTGTTGTAATGGAAAACAACAGAAAAAAACTGAAAATGCCTCAATTCTGCTCCTGTGGTGTCATCGAAGTGTCCGTAAGCAAACTCAGTGTTTTCTGATGGTCAAAGTGACCAGACTCTAGAATTTACTCAGCTCACATAAATCCAACTAATTAAGTCACTGTCTGCGGCAAAATATGCCTTTATCAATTCCATACCAACATCTTTGAGCACGTTTCTATTATTTCCTACAGAAATAACATTTTCAGCAGATTTACCAGTTTGGAAAATCACAAGCAGGCCAGCTCTCCATTTCCTGGTTTGCTATCTTCTCTGGTGTGCCTTTCAAACTGGGGATACCTGAAGGGCCACAGTGCCACCTAGGGGCTTAAGTATGAACAATACATTTTCCACTAAGTTACATGTATTTAGTTTTTCTGGCCACTTTTTCTTGTAGCTTTCTTTCACTGTCTCCATGAACTCCTGAGAAAAACACCCGACTCTGTAGCTGCAAAATAAGACACTGTGTTCACCAGCCCATCGTTAGCATTGTTGATGTTGGAAAGGTCAAATCTTGTGTCCCGATAGTGATCATTTCTTATCCAACAATCCTTTGTTATTCATAACTTTTATTGACTGCAGAAATTGGGGCCACGTCACTTTGCCAGTGGAACACCGTGTGGCAGTTCCACTCGAAAAGGCCTCTTGTCTTGAGTCTGGAGCTTGTTTTGAGCAGTCGACTGTTCTTTAGTGGCTCTCGTCCTCGGACTCTTTCAGCGCTGTTTGACATGACTCTTAGGCACTCGAGGTAAGTGGTGTTTGAGTGTTACGGAGCCCTTAAAGTTCCAACAGGGGATTCTTTTCTTTTATTTCTAACTTGTTCCTACACGATAAATATCTTGTGCACACAAAATATAAACTTCACACAAGACAATTACCTTGTGGGAACAAATTCATGTATGTGCAGCAAATGATTCCTGCTGATGAGAATCATGTGTCTCAGAACATTTCATTATATGCCATTAAAATGGGAAAATTGGATCAGCTGAGTTCTTCCCTTCTCGCTGGGTACATGCATGTGAAAGACACATTTGAATATTTTTGTAAATTTGGGCACATGTAATTATCCTGTGTGCACAATGTATTCATCATTTGCAAACAAGTTAATATCTATTGTGTCTGCAAGATTAAAACATATCACCTGGACTGTGACCTATCACCAGAACTTGAGGGGATCCACAGAGACCAGTCTGCGGCATCATTTGCAAAGTACTGTTTTGTGGTGGTCTCACATGACTTGTCACATCCATGGAGCAGAAGTAGCCGTAAGCTACTTGTTTTGTCTTGGCTGGAGTCCTCTCCCTGTTCAGAATTACCCTGTTCTGTGTCACGTTTATTCTCCTTCATGTTTGTTTGTGTTGCATTCATGCAAATTTAACACAATCCATGTTCTCTGGAAGAACACATGTGATCCATTAAAAGTGTGAACATAAACAACTGTCTAATCGTTAGGACAGCGTGAGAATTCCAATTGCTTTTTGAAATTGATTGATTAAAGAAAAACCAAAACAATGAGCTAAAAGAGGCTGATAGGGCCAAGTTAAGTGCAGAGATGGTAGAAAGACTGTACCATTCTTACCTCTTATAGTTTCTATCCACACCAGAACTCTCAGATTACTGTGGCAATAACTGTTTGTTTATTTATTTTCTTTTGCGCATATTATATTCATGTTCATCTTTACTGCATATAGTCATATTTATCACTTTAGTCATGTTCCAAACAAATACTGCAATCTTTTGTTGTCTCTTGACCTGCTGCTGTGTTTTCTAATTTATCTATCCATCTATCTATGCTTGTAACTATGATTGACCCCTTTGACATTACACTTAATTATTTGATCCACTGTTAAAATGTAAGTTTTGGTTTTCACAGCTTTACCCTCTCAACCCTGAGGTGGTGAAATCAATACATGGAATTGTTTTCATTAAAGAAACAGTGAGTGACCACTCAAGGATCCTTCAAATAAACATTCAGACTAAACAAACTTTGGGCAAAGTTATTATTTGGGATATAATGCTATATATTCAAGTTGACTCTAATTAATATTCAAATAAGTTTGAGCACCACATTGTTTCTTGGATTATACACTAACATACTCAATGATTCCAAGCAGGTCACCTTTCCAAGCTGTTTTACACATATTGTAACTCCCTGTGCAAACACCTGCACTATAAACTCAGTGGGCTTGTGTGCCAGAGCCAAAAACACTTGCAGGAAGCAATCTCATGACATTTCCCACCCACTGGGGGTGATAAGCCATCGCTCCAGTCCTTTGAGCCCCGGGATGCAAAAGCTATTTTGCCTCAGCGGGACGCCACTTCTCTCCCTTTCATCCGCCTCGCTCTGGAAATGAGAATGACATTCCGTTAGAGAGGGGAAAGAATTCCCCACCCTGGCAAGTGAGAGGTGCAATGCAGAGAGCCAATTGCCTTAATGAAATTCCAATATGTGATGAGTGGGAAGTGAGAGGCTTGCTGAGGAGCAAGGCGTATGCAGCTGCAGCCGAGTGTCCTGTCCAAACCCCTGAAAACAGCCCCAATCGTCTGTCTCTCTCTTATAGACTGCTTCATGATCTGGGATGAACTCGATGGAGATATTCCATTATTATTATTATTACATATCATTTAGTTGATGCTTTTATCCAAAGCGACTTCAAAATCTATTAGGACATTTCAGCATGTAGATGGGATAGACTGGGATTGAACTGACAACTTACTCGTTGGAGGATACCGCTCTACCCCTCAGCCACATCCGCCCCCAGATACAGATCTATAGGATAGATGCGTTAGTCTCAGTGGAAGTGCAGACTTTATGGGCAGATTGTTGGTTTCTTCTTATATTGTCAGCCTGCATCTAGCTTTGGACATTTACAGCACACTCTCACTAATATAGTTACAACCCTCCGAAGTCATCAAAGACGATTTCTTTCAAACAACAGCCTAAGTCTTTGGCTGTCCGTAAAGGGAAGGGAAACTCTGCTGCAGATATGGAAACAACCCAGAGGAAATGCACAAGTGTGCATGTTTGTGCATGTGTATTCATGTCTGGATCTCCCAGGAATAGACCTATTACTCTGAGTCAGGTAGTTCTCTTGTTGTCAGGGTGATAATGTCTTTTCCTGCGTGGCTAGAAGTTGAAGGCTCTTTTATCTGTGCAGCCACTGGAAACCTCATTTCCTGGTCCAGTTTTGTTTCCAGAGGCTCAATCCACCCACGGCCCCAGCTGCCAGCGCCGGGCCTACAGGGAGAGGCGTAGATGACCGAGGGAGGGACGAGGGTGGAAAGTAGGAAGATGTCAGTGGAGATGATGATGGAAGCAGAGATTAACAGGAACAAACTTTGTCAAGTCTGGTCAAAGTCAGACTGATCAATATGCAAATATTGATCAAACAAGACAATTTCCTGAGCAGAGATAGTTTCCCACAAACCACACGTCTACATGCAGAGTGCAGGTCCCGGGTTTGTGTACCAGACAGTACATGTGAATAACAGTCTGAGGCAGGCGTCTCCAGTGGCTAATATTACTCACATTGCAGACATCACTCTCCAGACATTTCACAGCTGCAATTTGTTTGTCGACACTTCCTTTAGAGACAGTGCTGTCTCTCAGGTCAGGGACTTGCAGAAAATTATACATAGCAAGACCAAACGTGGTGTAACAATCTAAACACATGGACCAAAGAACGTTTGCATTTAAGACATGTCCAAAGAGTGAAAAAAGGTCACTGCACCATGTGCCAACAAAGGTCCCATGAGTCCAGTATGTTTTCTATTTAAGCAAATTGCAAAGACAGTTGGGTCATGCTTCGTGCTGCTTTGTGCCAGGTGTAGGGCAATGCTTGCAACTGTACATGCAAGTACCTACTGTAGCTGTGCACTAATTCAGGAAGTGACCCCTTCAGAGGACTCAGTCCAAGCTCACCATTGCATCTTTAGCTACTTTGAGCTGTAGCAACATGAATGTCTATACAAAACGTTACTGGCAATAGAGATATTTCAGTCAGGAGCCAACACAGTGAAAAAAGGCCTCAAATCAAATATCAAAGACAGGTGCTACAAGTGCCCTTGTCCTTGTTATTGAACAGAACGCTAAAGTGGAGACAACCAACTTAAAAACAAGACATGCATTGATTTTAGATGGATGTGACCACGACAAAGACAACATCTTTCAGATTCATCTCATCTGTAAGTCAGTGCAGGGCTGATGAAAAAAGAAAAAGCACCAACATGTAGGACTGTAATTCAAATGTGGCTTATTTATTTATTATTACTGTTGAGAGGCATACATTACAGTGCAAACCATTCTTTGGCAAACGTACAAATACAATACAAATGTCATGACATGTACTACTATATCCACATTGACCACTGGTTTAAAGGACAGTGTAGGTAAAGCATGTTCAGTCTTGCAGAGCAGTGCATTCCATTGACACTTGGGGAGTTTGAGGGGAAATGAAAAAGAGAGGGAACCATGATGAAGACAGAAAACAAGGAAAATGAACTAATACAACAGATGAATGAAGCTCAAGAGAGCTCACAGTGTTTTGGCAGCCAAAGCTTGGGCCAAAAACACATTTAGCCTTTTACAGAGACAGAAAGACACACACTCATTCATTCACAGGGTTTATCGAATGATGAAATTACTAGATTCATTAAAACATTAAAAAAAAAAACAGAGCACATGATGTTACTGGTGTTGTTGGAGAAGCCATGGTCAGAGAGAAAGAGACACAACTGTAAACACACAGTTTGATGTACAAACCTGTCCAGTATATTCAAACATGTGATACGATACCAGATAATATACCAGTGCTACAGCAAGCCCCATAATCCATCTGGAATCCTGAATGGAACATTCCAGAGAGTATTATTTCTGTTTAGTGACAGACGCTCGCTCAGGACGTTACCACATAAAGAAAACAATGGAAAAGAACACTGCAGCTGCTTCCTCACAATTAGGAGCAAAGCAAAACAGAGTAACAACAAGAAACGTGACGTGTTACCCGAAGCGAGCCAGTGCATGGGGTACAGTGAGCGTCGTTTGTGTGTATGTACAGTACTTGTGGAGGACCAGGTGACAGGGATCGGTGGAATACATCTGTCTCACACCAGCGACATGCTGAAATCTTGTTTTGATTGACTATAGCTGCTGTCAGACTCTGGAGATCCTCCTGATATTCTCCGGAGGGGGAGGTACGTGTGAATGCAACTGTGTGAGAGCCTCTGGACTGCGGACTTTCTCCATTTGGCTCCCTAAAATAAGATCCCCTGCTGGATTCACCACGAGCGAGTGGGGGGGGGGGGGTGTCTAACACGCGACAGATGCAAAAATGAAAAAAGAAACCCAAACAAATATCTCGGGATAAAAAAGCGGTGCCATACACGTAGAAGACAACTACGCTGTTAAGAGAGAGGTCGATGTGATGTAAACAAGAACATGTGATCTTTGCAGCAGAATTAGAGCTACATCCTCTCTGCCTAACGCAACCCCCTACGCCTCAACACTCCAGACATGTCAGTTGCTGTCTGAGCAGAGAACCTCCTGCCGCGTTGTATATATGTGAAAGGCAAACTCCGGAGAAAGTCCACACCCAAATTCTACGGACATCCTCTGGAGGTCATGTCTGAAAACAGCTTATATCCCGATGATCAGCACGTTTCCCCCAGTTTCACCCTCCCCTCTCATATGGCTTCCATTACAGCGGAATGACGGTCGAAGAAACACTGCTCTGCTGAATGACGTCACCCATGGTATGAAGAATCTTAAAAATGGCAGAGAAGCATGAGCAGGACAAAGAATTCCTGAACTACATCAACACTGACGGCGATCCTCACAGGAGGAAGCGCACGAGTAAAAACTCAAGAGAGAAAAGGTGGAGACAGAGTGGACGCTCGACAGAGGAATGCATGCAAGCGTGTCCTTGTGTAAACTGGGGCTAGAGAGCTGAGGAGAAGAACAGTCAACAGTCATGGCAGCAGTCCTTCAGTTGTGTGTGTGTGTGTGTGTGTGTGTGTGTGTGATGTGTGTGATTGTGTGTGATTGTGTGGGGTCTGTGGACTTACGATGAATAAACATGAATAAAAACAACAGATATGAGCAGGTCAGTGGGAGAATACTGCTGTGGTAGAGTCTGCAGTACCAAAGGCTAAAATCCTGACCTCGTTACAACATTCATACATAAGTTTCATAGATATGTCATTTTAGAAGTTACTAAATCATACATTTGGCTTAAAGAACGACTGAGCAGGAATATTGGGACAAAGGTCACAACATTACAGTGGTAAAAAAAAATGGATATTCTTCTCACTGCTTTCTGAAAGCAAAATGAAACTTGGAAGGAGCACAACAGTGCAAGAGCTGGGTCAAGTGTCCTGCGACGGGGGAGCGCAGCACGGCTCCTCCTCGCTCAAGTTCAGGACAGGCCAGCAGAGACAATAACAAGGTGTCCATGGATAGAGGAGCAGTAATCAGTAGACATTTTTCTTTTTTTTTTTTTGCATAACAAACATTTTTGTAGGGCTTCACATTATCTTCATATATGCAATTTTATACAAAAAGGGGAGAGGAAAAAAAAAAACATATTCATAACATATAGAAAAGCACCGTGGATTAAAAGATGAAGAAACTCTATTCATAAAAAGTCTTTTAGTTTGAGTAAAACAATCCTCTCAATTGTGATTTATCATTAAAAGGCATATACTGAGTATATAAAGGTTGCTTTGCATACAAAAGACAATACTTTGAAGGTTTGAATTTAGTGATTAAATCATTATTAAAAACAAAAATGGGGGAAAATAGCACCAGTTTTCGGCATCTCTAACCTGAGAATTTTTTTTTGTGATACAACATAATTGTCGCCGCCTTTCAAACTACTTCCCTTTCCTGCTCCTCGACGGCAACCGGCCCTGCACTTCGTCACTGAGTGTTAGTCACAGGAGAGCAAACACCGTGGCGGTTTGTGACACTTCAGGAGCCTCGTCGGACTCCGAGCGAGCAGGAGAGATTTGTCCGTCTTGTTTACAATCCACCCATTCATCCATCCACCCATGCATCCACCCATTGGTTCAGAAATACATCCATTTAGTGATTGCTGGCTTGTCGCCACAGGATTTCAAACTGAGCCTCAGGCTGCTGGTCCTGGAGGGGGCAAAAAGCCAAATGGGAAAAAAAAATAAAAAAAAATCAACCCCTCCATTGATCAAAGAAAAAAGGATATGAAATTAAAAACAAGAACTGAGGCTATTGGGTCTATCGAGGCTGTTAGTGGCTGTGGATTAGCACACCTTCAAGAGTCTCATCCTCTCTCTGCATGTCTGCGTGTGAGTGTGTGACGTTCAGACACTGGAGTGTGTTTGTCAGGGCGGGCGGGGGGGGTCCTGAGTGTTAGTTGTCGTGGGTGTCCGCTTCTTGTTTCTTGTCAATGTGTGTGTGATCGAGGCAGAGTGGGCAGCAGGCGCCTTTTAACTTGACGGGCCTCTTGCACTCGACTGGTGGACAGGACTCCACGAAGCAGGTCACCTGGGCATCCTGGAGGAGGGGGAGGGGGAGAAGGGGCGACAGGTCAATTAACATATTAGATTAGAGAGGATGAAACATTCGTGATCGCTGCAGCAAAACTGACCTGCTGCTGCAAATTTCAATAAAGATACAGCAGAGAACAGAAAAAACTAAAACAAAAAAAGAGGACCTAAATGCTGCTGCTGCTGCACACGAGAGGATAATCGGGCCAAATAAACTCTCGCTGGTTTCTGTGAAATCCAAGTCTCTGGAATCGACCCTGTGAAATGTTTTTTTATCAAACGGCAAGTGTGTGGTCAGACGTGTTGGCCAAATCCTCTAGTGTGTGCGTTCTGACGATCATTACTTAAAAGATTGTTAAATCTGTCATCATGTCTGTGGTCTCCCACATTTTTAAAAACAGCCAAGAGTTGAAATGCTCTAGAGTGCAACAGGCTTAAAGGTGTTAAGTAGAAGACATTGAAAAATTGTCATGGTTTAACAGTATATTTTTTGAGGCCGACAGATACCTTTTACTCAGATTTACTAACATTAGTGTGTAAATGCAGGTTAACCTGCTGAAAGGAGATTGAAGACGAGGAGTTTGCCTTCCTGTTTTTTCACCCGGTGCGTCATGTTCAATGTCACGAGTGCACCGGCAACTGAGGTGCTCTTACAATTCGCTGTCTTGCCAGATAAGCACGTTGACCCAGCTGTCACCATTTTAACACTGCAAATCTGACCAGAGCTAAATAAAACCTGTGTCTACTGCAGAGTCATTTAAAGGTCCAGTGTGTAAGATCTAGGTGAAAGGGATCTATTGGCAGAAATTTAATGTAGAATAATCCTCATGATGTTTTCACTAGTTCGTTTCATCTAAATTGTCTGAATTATAGTTTTCTTTACCCCAGAAAAGGCCCTTTATATTCAAATACTTTATATTTACATCGAGGGGGTCCGCTCTACGGAGGCCGCCATGTTTTTTACATTAGTCCAGACTGGACAAACTAAACACCTTTTGAGTTTTTATGACAACTGAAGCTACCACAGGTTCTTCTTCATGTTTGGACGGAGGGGGTGAGGTGAGGGGTGTTCAGCTGCAACATGTAACTTCAACACTCGATATCACTAAATTCTACACACTGAACCTTTAACCCAGGAGTTAATGCCAATTATCTCCATTCACACTGCAGATGAAAGCCAGATGTTAGTGGGTGTTGGTGGGTTTTTTCACCAGTGAAAATGGGACTTGAGATTAAACTGGATGAAAAGATCATGATAACTGCAGAGAAACTCGACAGCACAGCTCAAAATCTATCAAAAACAATACGCACGGTCACACACACGCAAATGTAGCAATGACCATCGTCTCTCGTTCCCTTCCAATGTGTGAGGAGATGAATAAAACCTTCACAAGAAGTTTTACTTTGTAATTTTTACTTGAAACATTTGCGAATGTGCGACCGTATTTTTACAGCCCGAGTGATGCTGGATTTTTGGGGCCGATGCAGACACACTGAAATGCGTTGCTCGCGACGAGTCTCTGCCGAGGTGCTCGACAACAGCTGAACGAACAATGAGGTGCTTTGTATTCGAGCATGACGCCACATGACATGTTCAATCAAACTCTTCTTCCCACTACAAGGCACCTCATTGTGCGACATTCAATGATTACTAAACCCTACCAATTATAAGGAGGCGTGGAAGGATGGGAGAAAGTTTTGGGGATGCCGAGGGGGGTGAGAGTGAGAGAGAGAGAGAGAGAGAGAGAGAGAGAGAGAGAGAGAGAGAGAGAGAGAGAGAAACACAAACTGTCAGGTGTGTTATCAGATGTGGTCAGTGAAATAAAGTGAGTAGGAAAGATGGCAACAACGGCTGTGTGGGAGGGAGATCTGAGGCAGCCAGGTTTGGCAGGGGGCTGTTGTAACCTGTGCCAGCAGTTGGCAGAGGGGAAGTGTCAAGAGATAAAGAATGAAAGGCAGAAAAGTGGCCGGTGCACACAAACACACCGTGGGGAGACACGGGTGCCAGGAGGAGGGCGCTGCCAAGAGCTGCTGGACGAGGTGAAACACTCCCAAGAGTTGCCAGACAGAGAAGCTGGGGCATTTAAACTGGGCAGACTGCTCACACAGAGGCAGTGCTGATGGACCGTCCACGATGAGAAACATGGAAATACTCAAACAAAATCAGCTTCTCGGAGTGAAAAATGAGAGGATTAAGTATTGAGCATGTGTGTGTGTTTGTGTGAAACCATTTGCACTGCATATTGATCTACATGTTGAACGTACCCGGCATTCACATGTGGTGCAGGAGTCCTTTTTCCACCGGTCTCCATCAGTTCGCTCACGTCCCTCACTATCAGTGCAGTCAGTCTTGCTCAGACGGGTTTCAAGTCTTTTAATCTGTAAAAGGTACAAGGACACAAAACATTAACTTGTTTCTGGTTATGTCACCTGCACTCTCTGGCTCCTTTTATACAGAGATCCTGCAGTGTTGCAAAGACCCCTTCAACATTCCCACCTTCAAGAAGAAGGTTTTTCCTGAGACCAAACAATGCCATTTGGTCTCAATCGGTCAAATAATTGAACAGTATTGACACAAGCACCAAAAGTTCCAAAGGTAACAAGGCCTTTTCCCTGAAGAGATCCGGCAGACAAACTCCTTATTGGCTTTTGAATCTCTCCTAAAGACACATTTGTATCCGTGTATTTTCTCCTAGTTCTGATCTTACCATCTAATGTAATAAGTCTATCTTCCCTGGGAATGCCTCAGAATCCTTCATGAGGAAGGATCAGTGCAGGGGGCTGTGTGACTGTGGCTGTGAGTTAGCCCACAGCACAGACATAGCAGACATACATGCAGCATGAGCCAGGCAACCTGGGGGAGCGAGACATGTATAGACTCATGGTGTGGTTCAGTTTACAGGGAAGGGTTGAGGGATGCTCCACTGTTAATGTTTCAGAGGTTACACTTTTAGATGAGGACAGACAGCATGTGTACAGAGTAGACACTGTGTATTAAAGGTGAAAAAGTTACTTTGACTATAAAGCATACTGACGATGTCTGTGTATATGTACTAAAATGCACTCAGTAGAGCTCATACCTCCCCCGAGGCCCAACAACAGTCCTCTTACAGCCAGGCCTCACTGGCTGCATGAGCGGCCCCGGTGCATTGTGGAACGTCTTGCTTTTCATGTCACTGTCGAAGTTATCAGATTAAAGCGCCCATGTGAGGCACTGCTCTTCTCCAATGTCAGCGCTGTGCCTATTTTCTCCAAGTACTGAGTGAGGTTTACAACAAAACTTTCCATACTTTCAATGTCTTTCTGTAAAAAATGTCACACACATACTCATTTGCATCACTTCCTGTAGCTGTTTCAAAGTACTGTAGCATGTCTGTTGAATCCATTGATTTGTTTTAACAAGCTCTTTATTATTATTGTAGGTTCATAGCGTAGAGGTCGTACACAGTCCTCACGTAGCAGCTCCACATTAGACATGCTCCCTCACTTTTCATATTGTGTTAACAACAGATGTCAACAGATTCTACACCAAACTGCAGACACACATAGATGTGACTGATTATTACTATTTTGGTGAAAATGTTGAAAAAATCTAAGTTACAATGTTAAAGAAAGGAATTTTTGGCAGATTTCCCATCATAAAACATAAGTTCCTTGGCGGAGGTAATAAAGAAATCTCATCAGATCCAGTGCCACACAATTAAAACTTCAGCTTCTGACGTCTGCTGACATACGCGTCTCATCTTCATGACACTGAACTTTGAAATGCTCACAGGTTGACAAAGTCTATAAGTGTGACTGCACTGTGGATTCCAAAATTACCAGCAGAGACCGTCTCTGCGGTTTGCCACCTCATACACGGACACAAACAAGGTTTAAGACATGTGGGATTACCAGAACACCACTGGCAGTCAAATGCAAACATGTGTGTGGGTGCGGATACAGACACACACCTGCTTTCGTAAACTTGTGATCGTCTTCTGCATGTCAGAGACAAAATCCTGGAAGTCGTTGATTGAGGGTTCAGTGCTTGTTTTGGAGGTCAGGGTAACATTTACTACAGTTTCTGCGGTTCCCTCCACCGGGCTGAAAAGACACATGTACAGATAAAACAGATATAAGACTATATGCAATACAGAACATTATAGAAATCATAAAATGTCTGTCGCTCAGAGAGCCAATTGTCTTTCTGAAGATGTGGCATTTACCTTCCACTTACAGAACAAGTGAGCATTAAATATGCCATTTTCTCTTTACAGTAAATCATCACCTGAATGTGGTGGTACGATGAATCAAACCCTGACATTTGATGTTTGCTACGCTGCATTACCTGTTCTCCAGGATGCTGTTGGCAGGATTATCCTCTTTGTAGCTGTGCTCGGCTGATCTGCGTCCCCTGAAGTGGTAAGACAGGGCGTTGAACTGACCCTTGGTTCTGCAGTCTGGTGGGTCAAACATAACACAACACAACAGAGGAAAGAAAAATGATCAGAACAGAATCATACAGTGACTTTAACAGAGAAAGTACACTTCCTACTAAAATATGACCAATTATACTTTGGAATTAGAAATGAAGACCTGTCTCTTATATAAGGCTGCTATAAATAAAGGTCTGCTTCCTTCTGCAGCTGAGGTAAGTAATGGTTAGAAACAGGAAACCCTGTCTGCTGATGTCCCTTCCCTTCAGATTCAAAGCGCTGATCCAAGACTCTGAGGCTTGTGTATTACCATGCCTCAGTGTCACGCTGTAGACACTGTACCCAGATCAAAGAGAGTAAAAGACACATACACAAACACAGCACCCTGCTCACGTCCCGCTACACATCTGAGGCATGCTGAGCATCAAGAGACAGTTCATAATAAACCTGAGGAGGCACAGATGAGTGGACCAGCCCTGCAGTTAGCAAGGCTGCATCTTTATCTGGAAAAGTTCAGAGGCAGCTGCTCAGCCTCAGAGCCCCTTTGATTTACTAGACCATGGTCTGTAAAAGACAAACACTATCTAAGAACAACAAGGGCTCATGCTGACAGATACGCATGAGCCCAGCATGATCTCACACACACACACACACACACACA